GAATGGGGGAGGGGATCCCTTCCCTTCCCCCACTCGAACCCCGTATGCGCGAATTCAACTCAATAACGCGGGGAGGGGATCGACATCCCCTGCAACGAAGTAGGGGTTCGATGGTGTAGATCATGACAGAGACGCAGATATTCTGGTTCTGCCCAGTCATTACCAAGCATTTCGTTCATTTTGATGGAGGATTTTCTTTGAAAGCCGGGTTCTTCTCTCAGCGACCTGTGGCTTGCAATTTGTCTTTCTTTTCTATATTCGCCTCTTGAGAAGAAATCCGAGCAACAATAGCTGCCAATTTCGATTATTTGTAGGAGTTCTTGATCATTCAGGAAATTTGCGCATTTTTCATATAACAAAATAGTTTTAACTATATAGGCTGAGTAAACACATTGTAACTTTCATATTCATGACATGTTGCCACTATCTTGTTATTTTAACATAAGCTGCCTCGAAAAAATCTAGAAAGTAGCATATTTGCCTATTTCTGAGTAGAAATCCCCTGGGGAGTGATCCCCTCCCCAGCGTTCCCCTTGTGCATAGCAGGGATGGCTGCTGGGGATCATTCCCCTGGGATAAAGGACGATATGCAGGTGATAGCTACAGCGTTTATGGAGAGCTGGGACAATTTGCAGCTTCTGTTATGTATTAGAATACTGCTTTGAGCGTCCGCGCGGCACCCCCCCCTTTTTCGGCAGCATAACGTCTTCTACCCATTCAGTTGCAGAGACACAACAGCTTCTATAGTTCAACATTTTTACGCTGAAATGGAACAGCATGAGCGAAAGTGGGCAGCATCCGAGAAAGCAGGAACATAATGGGAGTAGAAAAAATCATTTTAGTGCCCCGAGCGCAGTCACTGCACTGCATACGCGCATTCCGCAACCCTAAATTAATGAAAGTAGGAGATGAAGATGAGTTGCGGTCAAAATATGAAATAAGAAAGAGTTTTTCATAGAAAATTTGAAAGCAAGGTGATTTCCCCGCTTGATCCCCTCTTGTGCATAAGAGGGTTCACTTCCCCTCCCCACAGGGGATCCCTTGTCCGATATTGTCTTTGTGCATACGGGGGTTCGCGCGGGGAGGGGAGGGGATCCCCAGCGGGGATCATTTCAATGGTTAAGCGCACATCCCCTCCCCGCGGGGATGTACGTGCATACGGGCCTTAAAGGCAGTGTCCGGGCAAAAACTCGATTTTGAGATTTTGTGCTTACCTGGGCCTATTCGCTAAGCTGAATCCGAAAATGCACATTGTAGAGCGCGAAAATGGCGAAAAACGGCTCGAATACAGGAGGGAAGTGAGCAGGTGGGCGGGGTCCTCCCCACTGCGAATTCACGTTCCCGGCTTCCGGAGCGACCTTCTCGCTTTCGGTTTCAAGTCAATCATTCGCACTTGGCCGGTAGCGATGTTAGGACGGCTAGCGGAATCGAGAAAATCGCTCCGGGAACTGGGAGCGTGAAATCGCACTGGGGAAAGCCCCGCCCACCTGCGGATTTCCCTCCTGTGTTAGAGCCCTTTTTCGCCGTTTTCGCGCTTTCCAACGTGGATTTTCGGATTCAGCATGGCGAATAGGCCCGTATAAGCACAAAATCTCAAAATCGAGTTTTTGCCCGGACACTGCCTTTAAATGAGCGCGTGTTGCGTGTTACGTGTCGTTTTACGCAACACGCGCTCATTTAAGCGGCGTCTAAACTGTGCGGGACTCACAGGAATCGCAGGAGTCGTAGGAATAGCAGGAATAGTATGGCCGATCCCTGAGTTAGGCGCCAGACTGAGCGACGACGACCGGTAACCACACGGCGCTGAAACGGCTGGATTCGCCTTGGAGCGCGGCTGTCGAGCGGAGCGCGTAATTGGCATGGAACTTGACATTTTAGCGTTTGACGAAAGATGATTCAAAGGTTTTTTTGACTCAAGTGGTTCTTTTTCGCATGTTTACTTACAAGAGTCCACTCCGGTTAAGTGCACATATGAGTACTTATTTTGCGATAATTTCCGCAGTGTAGGTCCTCCCAACTGAGGCTAGATGCATATACTCACTACAGAAACGGGAATTGGTTGTTGCAGAAAGGTAAACCAAATGTAGGTATTGATATTTGGAACGTATAACACATAACCAACATCTCTTCCATAGCTTGCAACAACTAGGCGAAAGTGAAGAAGCAGAACAAAAGAGCGATTATATGGAAGTGGTGCATGAGATATGGTCGTTATGATTAGCAAGACAGTAATTCCTGGATACTGGATCAATATAAGCTTGCAAGATAAAAGAGAAGGTAGACTGAAATTAGTTCTCCTAATGGCACTCTTGTTCTTGCACATGTTGTCATGTGCTCCAATGTTGCTTTGAAGTATGCTGGCTTATTCACTGTTTGATTTGTGCATCAGAGAGGTTCTCGTAGGTACCGTCAACGTGGCTGCCTTTCGATCGTTTTGACACGTTAACTACAGCAAATTGAAGGCGCTTATTCGAAGCTGACACGTTGAAACGATCGAAAGGCAGCCACGTTGATGGTACTGGGAACCCCCTTCGAGGGGTATATGTCAAGAATAACGATAGGTGGCAATAGTGGCACCCTGAGTGCCCGGGTGTCAATAAACGGTGCACTGGTAGCACCGCCACAGCAGCGGACGATCTTACGCAGGCCTTGCATTTTGGAGCAGCAAATTCTCAGAACTTTGTTTTCCTTCAAAAATGCTTTATGTTAAGGCTTCTGCTATTTTTTGAAGATGAAAATAATCAGCAATCACATCGCCATAAACATGCGTTAGAAATGTTTTGGGCTCAATTTAGCATGTAAAATACGTAAGCTTCTTTGGTCGTTGTAGAAGGCTCCATGTCAGGAGTCACGCCGCGCGCCGCGCCGCTTCGCCGCGTCTAAATTTTGTACCCCATAAAACTGCCCGGAGCTAAAGTGGCACGGCGCTAGTCTAGGGGGTGGGGGTGGGGGCAGATGCATGGCTCGTGCCATAAGTAAGACTGCGCCAGGAGTGCTAGCTTCTGTTTTGCTGACATCGCTTGCGGCATCGCTTCGCGAAAAAATCGCGCCGACCGTGACTCCTGACCGTTCACCGTTGTAGAAGACGAACTTCAATGAAGAGAACTGAAGTTTGAATAATTTCTCTCAACTTCAGGAATGAGTGAGGGCGGGCTGTTCTGCGCGCGCGAGCAGCTGGCTGGCAGAGCTATCGTTATTCTTGACCGCCACCCCCCTTCGAGCACAAACGATGCGTGAGTCTGATCGCAGTAACACTTTCCACTACAGCTTTCACTTGGGTCGAGTCTTATTTGTTGGACTCATCAAGATTTCTTCGTTACTTTTGATCTGAAGATCAAATAGAGTTTCCATTGAGTTCATCCCTTCCCAGAAAATGTAGAATTCTTTGCATCTCTGGCCGGCATACTTGACTCCACCCTTTCCTTCGATACGCTATAGTAAAGTCAATATTCCATCACTAAACAAAATTCCCCTGTCCATGTCCCACTCCCGTGTGTTAGATTCCCTTCCCCATTATGTTTTCTTGTTCAGCATACATACTTATCCATTTGCACCAACTCCACCCGTGGCTCAGACTCAAAAATCAAAATAGTTATTGAGCGATAACAACAAGTAGGCTAACATACCCTCCCCGCCCAAAATGCTGTGAGCATGGTTTTGTCCAAATCTTATTTGTCCAAATTGAAGTCAGGTGAGGAAATCCGCTCTAATCACAATCCGCGCTCCATGGCGAATCCAGCCGTTTCAGCGCCGTGTCGTTACCGGTCGTCCTGAGCGACTGTTTTGTTCAGCTGCAAAAGGCGCACAGAATTGACGTTAATTCTGCGCGGGGCCTACAGCTGAAGCAGGCAATCGAGCGCAGAATTAACGTTAATTCTGTGCGCCTTTTGTAGCTTAACAAAACAGTCGCTTAGTCTGGCGCCTACCTGAGCTGTAGTGGAGTGGCCCAAGTGTGGTGTGTGAGGTGGAGGACTATATGTTGCGGGATTTGGAAGGGTCCCGCGCGGACTCCCTGCAGGAACGCATGTCCGCGCATGTACAGTCGAGTAGATTTAGCGGTAAATATAGTGTGCTTGCACAGAAGGTGAAATGCGGTGAAATTTGCGCGTGAACAAGTAACCACGTCAGTAGCGCGGGTATCTTGCGCGCGCAATTGGCCGGCGTCACAGTCGAAACTATTTCTTCACGCGCCAATTTTACCGCATTTCACCTTCTGTGCAAGCACACTATATTTACTGCTAAATCTACTCGACTGTATAAGGGTGCGTATTTGTCGCAGATGACCGCAAGGACCGCCCTTTTCGGCGACATATAGTCCTCTACCCTGGTGTGTGCCTAGGGTGCGCCGTGCAACCGTTAATAACCCATCGGTCGTTAGGCCCGAATGGGAGAAAAGGCGTGGAATATATAACTAGCATTCTGCGCATGCACCCCACATTATTTCACGCGTGTGTAAGACAGCCCAGCAATGGCTCAATAAGTAATATTGCATCTTTGATTTGGTCGTTTGACTTCAGTATGTAGTACCCGAAGAGAGCTGTCGAGTACCGAGGTTTGAGCTCGGCAATACTCATGTAATCTTTGCGTTATCTGAGCGCAAAAACTTTCTTTACAATGATAAGGACTTTGTGCGCATTAGAGTGATTGTGCACATCCTTTTGAGGACATTTGTCTGAACCTATCGTTGACCAAAAGTCACCTTTTGACAGGCATATGTGAGACACTTTCTAGCTCTCATGGCTCATTCAGATATGTTTTCTGTACTTCTTCTGAAGCCAAATCTTACAACACTCTGGGGGAAGCTCTGTACTCGCTGCGTGTTATGGTGGCTTTTAGCTTATTGGAAGTGTATCGAATCATTATGATGTTGAATAACTTGTCCTAAAATACTCTGTAATGCGTATTGAACCCCTAGTTTACAGGCACAACTCAGTCAATTACTATTGTCAGCGTTTTCAGCGTATTCAGCGTATTTGTAGACTATACTTTATATTTTTTAGGCGAAAGATTGAAAGTTTGGCGAGGATGAGTAACATGTCGCAAGAGGACGTTGCGACGGGCCTGCGAACTGTTCAACAAGGTTTAGAGGCGCTTCGTGATGAACATGGCACTGTGTGTACCACACTTGAAAGCAGCTTGAAAGGTTCGACTTCTGCCCAAAATTTCCATTTCCACCATAGTCGGCTCATGATTAGTCTTGGATAACAGCAGCAAATGCATGGTGTTCATATCGCAGTAGTCAATGTACATTTTTATGTGAAAAGTGCGGTCGATTTTGTTTTATACAGTCTTACTGAACATGGAGTCTGAGTTCGTTCTCATGAACAAAAGTTCTCTTCTATGTTACAATTCTAGGAATAAGCGAAGATGAAGCGCCGATGCCTCGCGAAAAGCATCATCAGATCTCCGATAACGTTACGAGTATCTCAAATGGGCTAGAAGAAGTTACAGTAAGTTGTTGATGCTGTTCTTAATAGCGGAATTGTCAAAACAATTTCCTCAGATGATGATGTCGATCATGTCTCATTTGAACAACCTCGAAGCTGAGAAGCAGAAATATCAGGTGAGTGCGATCAAATTTAGAATCTTGGCGCTTGAATAAGCGGACAAGAACTTTCAAATCTAGGCACAGCGACGCCGTCTGTGTCAGGAGAACGCATGGCTGCGTGATGAGCTGAGTTCAACTCAAATCAAACTTCAAACTTCTGAGCAGGTGGCAAAGTGTTCAATTTTTTCATGATCTCATCAGTGTGTTCCAGCGTGTTGCTACTTTGGAGGAAGAGAACAAACATCTCAAATATATGAATTCTATCAAGCAGTTCGATGATGATATCGTGAGTTTAATCTTCTTAAGTGTTTTTGTTTGCTTTATATATTCAGCATCAGCACATTACCGCATTGTTCTTTCCTGTTCTAGAAAAGAGATCGCTAAATAGCTTTCAGTCTCTCCTATGGCGCTGATCATATTCTGATTTACACTTTCTTAAGCAGAGCGACATGAAGACGGCACCATCTGAGTCAAATGTGCCATCGACTAATGACACTTTGCAAGACCTTGGCTTTGGACCAGAAGATGAAGAAGATCTGCAATCTAGTATTCTTTCGCCGCTTATTTTTGCTTTTCGCTGATTTTTGCGCTTCGAACATATATTATACAATTTTAGGCCAATTCGCTCAGCCAACTCCTGCACACTCGATGGCGGCATCAGCTTCAGTTGGCTACGAAATTCCGGCAAGACTTCGCACACTTCACAATCTGGTGGGTATTTGATTACCGGCTTGTAAGATCTCAGATAGTCATGTAAATTGATGGTATGTTAAACAAGCATAATACGATTTCACCAACTTTGGCTTCAGTATCTTATGCGTTTGACTCAGTTATTATCCGAGGTGTTGTCTGTGAGTTAGGTTGTTGTTGAAGTGCAATCTTTCATTAGTATGTTTGGTTAACGATCTTTGTCTTTTGTTTGATTGGGGTCATATGCACTGCTAGAATGGTTAGCATAGGTATTGGTAGATTCGCGGCTGTGGCTGCATGGCCCGTAGCTTCTGATAAATGGTGTACTGTATCTTAGGTGATTTTGAATGATAGGCTATAGGCGTTTTCTCTTTCTTTATCGGAGGCACTCAAAACAGAATTCCTTTGTATTTATTTACGTCGAAAAGTCGTGCAAGTTGATGCCATTTTTCTGCTTGGTACTTCTGTTTCCGAGGAGAGCTAGTAGCCAACATTACGGACATGATTATGCGCTTTTTCTGACGCAGTGAGCGTGCAAACGAAGTGTGATGACTGTTGAATGATTGTGAAGTTGATACTCTGGGTGCTTGTTGCACTTTGTGTTAGTTTTATACAGCACGGATTCAATCTTTGTGTTACTTTCATTTCCCGAACTTATTCTATTAACGTACTACAATATTATCCTCTTGACAGTGTGGGTTTGATCTGCAGTGAATTGAGTTACATTTTGCAGGTGATCCAATATGCTTCTCAAGGCCGCTATGAAGTTGCCGTACCACTTTGTAAACAAGCGCTCGAAGATCTGGAAAAGACTAGCGGTCACGACCATCCTGACGTAGCGACTATGCTGAACATTCTTGCGCTGGTGTATAGGTCGGTGTCGTTCACCTTACCGGGGTTACATTATTCTGTGTATTTTTTAGGGACCAAAATAAATACAAAGAAGCTGCTAATCTTCTTAATGAAGCGCTAGCCATCAGAGAGAAGTGCTTGGGAGAAAACCACTCAGCTGTATGCTTTTGTTATTACTGCAACACAGGTGCATTATTACTGTGTTATTTACTCTCAGGTAGCCGCCACTTTGAATAATCTGGCAGTGCTTTATGGCAAGCGTGGAAAGTTCAAGGACGCGGAACCGCTCTGCAAGCGTGCTTTAGAAATTAGGGAGAAGGTAAGCTTGTAAAAGATTCAGGTAGAACGCTATATTGACTTGTTTAAGGTGCTTGGTCATGACAATCCAGATGTTGCTAAACAGCTGAATAACTTGGCTTTGTTGTGTCAGAACCAAGGAAAGTATGAGGAAGTGGAGAAGTACTATAAGTGAGTTTCATCATGTATTTCTCAGTAATAGATCTCTAAGAAGCTTTTTTCAAACCATTTTCTGGCTAGTTGCGAGAAGTTATCACTACTGGCTGCATCTTGTCCACTTGAAAACAGTTTGCATAGGATTGGAAATAATTTTTTGTCCCATGAAAGTATTTCTAGACGTGCTCTGGAAATTTACGAAACCAAGCTCGGACCAGATGATCCCAATGTTGCGAAGACTAAGAACAATCTCTCATCAGCATATTTAAAACAAGGAAAATACAAGGTATCTGCTTTTGCTGTTCAAATTTCGTTTCTCTATCACATTGCCGATAGATGGCGTAGTTGCATAAGAAAGACTAAATGTCGAGAGCTACTTCAAAATAGCAACCTTTTTCGCTTGCATCAACTTTGCTTACTAAAACATTTAAAATACTAATTTGATGATAGCGCATTGCCACACTGATGTCCTTCCATAATTCCATATTTGATGTCATATGGTATGTGCAATGAAAGATTTTTCGTTCCCCAACTACATTTGTCAAAAGCAACTTCTTATGGTTGAATTAGGGAGCGAGTACTGTGTCCCATTAGCTCGCAGCAGAACCGCATCCATGCTGCTTTTCGAACATTAGTGCTCGCTAATGTCTGTTTACCATGTCCTGCTAATTGGTTCTGACTTGCAGCCAGATGCTGCCGTGTCTACTCGCATTATACGACTGGTTGGGCCCCGTAGTGCTTACAATCAACTACTTCGCTCAGCGCTTTGATTATATGTTCTATCCTTGACTTTCAGGAAGCTGAAGAACTGTACAAGCAGATTTTGACAAGAGCGCACGAGCGGGAGTTCGGCAAAGTAAGAAAAGAACATGTTTTTGCCGCCGCTATTTATACACTCTGATCTTTCAGATCGGTGAGGATAACAAACCAATTTGGCAGATAGCAGAAGATCGGGAGGAGCTCAAGCAAAAGGGCGGTGCAGACGCAGGACCTATTGCTTACAATGACCTTGGTGGTTGGCACAAAGCCGCTAAAGTTGACAGGTGGCTTTTACTTACTAATTTTCTATGTAATGGTGTTTTTATAATCACTAGCAGAGATCTTCTACACTCTATACCACTATCTTATATTACTTTTAGTCCAACTGTAACAACGACCCTGAAAAACCTTGGCGCTCTATATCGACGTCAAGGCAAGTATGAAGCTGCGGAAACACTAGAAGACGTGGCACTTAGGGCTAAGAAGCAGGTATGTGTCTTTTTACCTTTTCTGTACTCTCTGCTGTCTAAGTGAAGCAGTTGAGATCAAACTTTTGAGCATAATATCAAAATTTCTCTCTGCCTGTATTGTCCGTTGTAACTCTGTCTGCGTTGAACTTCCTCGAGCAGCAGTTTCAAAGAAACTTTCGGTTTGTTAGTGTTCTTTCAACATGCGATCGCTGCCTGTTTGCGTATCGTCTCTCATACGGAACACAAAGAGTCGTGATTGGTTGGATGTGACCTACGCAAGTGCGTTTCCTATGTTGTAGGCTCAGCGCGCTGCGCAGCATGAGCGAATGAACCAGCTCCTCGGATATAGTTCGCGAGTACAGGTTGGCATAACACCGTGGTGAGTTGGCTTTCGAACGAATCGAGCTCTGTTATTCACGAAGAGGTGTCGATGCTTTCAAAGTCAACTTTGTCCGTTGTATGAGCTGGTGCGTGTTCTCGGAGTCTGTGTTGCTCATTAGCTTGTCTAGTGTTGCTATTGTTTGTTGAATTGCATGACGCTTTGACACATATAGCATAGTCATAAAATTATTCTGCCTGCCGCCAAGAATCAGTCATATTTGGACAAATTTCAAATGGGTCGCTCCCAAATGGATTTGCTACTCTGTGGCTGGCATAATTGTTGTACACGTTCAACATACAGTCGAGTAGATTTTCCGCTTAATATAGTGTGCTTGCACTGAAGATGAAATGCGGTAAAATTTGCGCGTAAAGAAATAGCTACGCCTTTGGCGCCGGCCATTTGCTTACTGGCGTGGCTACTTATTCACGCGCAAATTCTACCGCATTTCACCTTCAGTGCAAGCACACTATATTAGGCGGAAAATCTACTCGACTGTAGCTCGATGTTGCAATGTGCTTAGAGAAATCAAGGATTTGTGAATGATTTGCTTAACTTTTTTAACCAGTCCTATGTTTGTCTCACAATTTCTGTCTGGTTTACGAGGCTTATACACATGCGTCGTAGATGCTTTTACCTTGACATTCATGCTTATCAAAATCGACGGGCTCAGTGGAGCGTTCATTAGCTCGTAGTGCTTCCGGTTTTTTTTTTGCAAACGCAAGTATGGGCGTAGGATGAGCATATCATGTTTAGTAGTTGTGCTTGGTATATTTTTCTCCGTAGTTTGTGACTACCAGATACCCCGGTCTCATCTAACACTTCTCAGTAGATAACCATAATAACTGGACATAGATTATGAAACAAGCATCTCGAGTGTATGGCGGGAGTGTGCATGCCTCCTTTCCGCCTCCATCAAGTACCCTCACTTTGCTTTATTATCATGCAGCCTAGGATGCGCATGAAACCTTTGCATTGCTTCGCCACAAGCTCGAAAATTTCTAGCTACGGCAAATTAATCGAGGTTTTATGTGCCCCTAGTTGCGATTGTTTCGTGTTGTGATGTGTGTCGCTTTGCAGCAGGAGCCATCCTTACGGTCAAACGACGACTTGATGACATCGTCACAAATATCCCGCATGACGACCAGCCACTCCTCATCAGGTCTGAAGTCGAAGTTGATGAATGCGCTCGGTTTCAATCAGTAATCAACCCGGGCATGCCCGCTGGTCGCACGGGTTACTGTTTCCTGTCTCGCTTCTGTGCCTGATGTCCATTTCTGAAGGTACATTATACTTGTGGGCAATTATTGTTCGTTGTATGTAGTATAGTGTAATTTATGGTGTTGTTGTGTTTTATTTTTCTGGGTTTCTCTTTCAAGAGAAGATATGCAACATGCCTTTATTCCGATAAGGTTCGCTTCCTAAAGAAAGCTTACGAATTGCATAGTTGTTTGCGTTGTTCTTTTCTTTGGAGAATGTCCGGTGGTTTTTGTACCATACTAGCCTCTGTTTCGATCTTCCTACGAGGCAACAGCTATATATGCTCTGAGAGTTCACCAAGTCTATTTGAAGTATTGTTTTACTCCCAAATAACATTCAAAAAGGAAGAAAACTGTGATAGTTTAGGTTTTTGTGATTACGCCGCTAATAAATCTCAGTGGTTGTTCCGTATTTTTTGAAAAATGTTATAGCTGTGAATAAGGAAAAGCTGTCAGGTGCTAAAATACATTTGTCAATGGCTCGAGCGGTGAAGAAAATCTAGGCAACTTGCTATGTACTTCATCTATGAGAAAACCATGTGAGGCTATAGAATATTGCATGGATTGTAAGACTGTAGATGGTTTAGGCACGGGAGCTACTGTGTAAGAGGCACATCACATTTGACGTTGCCAAAAAAATACAAGAACAAAGCAAGCGAAACTAGTGTTTTAGATGACATTCATACCTTTTGCGATGTAGGTTCAGACTGTTTCAGTACTTTTTCGTTGAATGGCGCTTTGCTATTGAACATTGCCCCTCTAGAAATTTTTGTGGACTATAAAAGACAGTTTCTTAGCGTATGGTTGCTTCTAAGTTCGCTTTTTCAGGAAAGAATTGAAACGCTTGCATGAAAGAGTTTCTTGCATGCTGTTTTCAGTTTGAAAACTAAGTTTCAAAGGCAAAACGCACTCGCAAAAAGGCAAACATTCGCAAAAATTCTGGCCGCTGAATCGAAAATCATTTAGTCACCTCCTGATAGCTCATTGGGGGCACCAACATGAACGATAGGTTCTGCTTGCCACATTGCGTAGATTAAATCTATCTCCAAGTCTATATTTACGTTATGATGATATTTGAAAATTGGGAAAAAACGGTGGGAGCTCAATAGACCGTTCCTTACATTTCCAGCCTACTTTAAGTCAGCGAAGAGCTTTCATTCTCTGAAAATACAAGGTTTGTGTACGACTTGTTGACAACCGCAAATATACACTGTGATAATTTAAAGTTACCGTTCATCTTGGCATACACCTTAGTTCAAAAATGAGGACTGCATGCATCACCCGTCAACCACACACCACACTGGTGAGACTCCTCACGTGGCCATTGATATCCCATGGTTGTGTCGCTGTGACCACTTTTTCCTATAATAGATGCTTTTATAAAAAGATCAGGCCCACTGATTGTTGCTAGCACCAAGAACTTTTCAGTATTCTCTTACGAGAAGATTGATCATCAAAGTCATGGTAGTCTTAGTAGTATTGTTGGGAAATGTGTGCAAATTTTGAAATGAAGTTCGAAGCATATTTGTTCTAATAATAGCTGCTTTTGTTCGTGCCATATTTGCTCTTTAGTGCATGGTTGCAATCTTTATATTTCAAAGTTTCGTAACTTTCTGGGAGTGATAGTGGGATTAAGGAGTTGATGTCCTGAACGCGGGCCCATTAGAAGAAAGTCAGAAATCAAAAAAAAACATGCAGAGATTAAGGGACGTAGAAAATTAGAAATTTGTGTTGCTTAAGCCTTCCTCTCAAAGCAGTACACAAGCTCAATTGTTTGCTTGTATATGTGCATATTGGTATTGAAAGTTGATTCCAATGAACAAATTATACACAGAAAACATGCTTTCAACCAAACTAGGTACTTCGGTGTGATCAAAGATTTTTTTCTGCGGTTGGGCATTCAAAAAATGTGGGGAGCTAACATTGAGTATATAACTTCTGCTATTGTGTTGGTGACGAGAAATTATCGCAATTATTTTGTTTCTTTGGCTTCTAATACATCATTCAATACATCTTTATCTCATACACGTTTACGTTTATGAAATAAGGATAAAGATAATCAAAATTTGTGATAATCTCTCTAAGCCCAGAGTCATTAGACCAATGGGTCTAGCAATATGCTTTTCTCAATATTAGAGATTTACGGAAGCCACTAGTTATGAGAGCTTTATGGGAAATTTTTCTGTCGTAAAGTGCATTGTTGATTTGTTCGTCACTTTTCCACTCAACAATCTATTGCAGATGGCTGAGCAGCGCAAGATGGAGAAGTCAATCTTCTAGTCCTCCAAAATGATTCGATTCTCGCAGTTGATTCTCTCGTCGATCTCTTCCGACTTACGTCGTCTACGTTAGTGTGCTGTGTGCGTGTGAGCGACGTCTTCCACGGCCGTCCGCTCTCACCGCCTTCCTCCGGTTTCTGTTCACAGTTGTCTGCAGCTTTCATCGTGCCTTATGTAATGCTGTCGTCTTCTATATTCTGAGTCGAGCGATGCTTCTGTGCCTCCAGTTGTGGTAGTTTTCGTCGCCGCGCGGCTCCTTGTATTAGCCGGCTGTGCCTGCTTTTGCTTCGTAGACCCATGGGGTACACGCTACTCCTAGCCCTCCATCCCATTATACTTTTTTTGGCCAGACGTCCTCCTCGACTTCAAAATATACTGTGGGGACAACTGTGTCCGAGACCCGCATCTCTTCTGAACTTGATTTAGTCTCGTGGTAAATGTTGTAGAACGTAGTAGCATTAGAGATATGTCTGTCTTCTATCTATTCTATATTTTTGCAGTTCAGTGGTTCTAGTTCCTCCACTTTTTCTTTGTATGTTATTGTATCGTGTGAATGGTGAGCCTTTTTCGAGTGCTTGAGCAGAAAACCGCCTTCTCATTCGTTTTCAACCGAATCTTGTCTTGTGTCTTGTCTTAAACGTTCATGTATCCTCTATTATTTATTTATTTATATTTTATCGTAGTTAGTCTATGCTAATAAAATATGCGTTGCATTTTGAACACTGGGGCTTTGTACAGTATTGCAAGAGTCCATCTAAAAGGAACAGAGCATCAGGTTTAAGTTTGAGCAATTTAATTTCGGATTCAAAACTCTGTGGGGAGCATGATGCAGATCATCCGAAACGTTTTTTCTGAGTTGGCGGGTGATAAGACCCTTCAACAGGAGTCAATGTTATGTTGTCAGGAGCAGGCAACACGCTGGACTTCGTTTTGGGAGATAAAGCAAAGGAGCATCGTGAAACATGCTTGCTCTCTAGGCATATAAGCGACCGTTGAAACAATTACGAACTTTGGAAGTAAGTTACACCAGACATGCTCTTGTTGATCACGAAGCTCGCGTAATTTGAATGAGGTTGAGTTAAACGGCTGCTCATACAGCGCAGGGACAAGCAGGCATCAAGCATGAATCATATATGGAGTATATTAAAATTATTATGTAAAAAGTTTTGGGAAACTCATGTGACGTAATGCCCTTTCCTAAATTGGTCCACCGTCCACCGAGACGAATTCGAAACGCATAGAGGTACCCTGAACGGCAACGCGGCAGCGACGCGCAGTTTTCTCCGCCGAGCGCGACAGCGATCACGTACTTGTTTTTTTTAAACGTTTTTTGAAGTTTCAGACGCCGATCTTTGTATTCCGAATTCGCTTTCGACAAGGCTTTCCGAACTCGATCAGCAGCAAGCACTATTGTCACAAAGTGGAGCAATCACAGCTTTGTAATATTGGTGTCTAAAATTTTCGGGTGCAGCCATGCGCACATAGATGGTTTTGTGATTTCGTTCGCAATCTTCAAGCTTTCTCCACAGTCTGAAATTTCTCCGAAATATTACGCAGTGGAGAAGCATCGTTAAGTCTGAGGATCAAACTCCCACTAACGAATTTGGTCACTACAAAATGTTACCTTTATTAATTTCAAAAGGCCGCGCAGACTGAAAAAAGACACTAATTGCAAAGTGCTTGCTCTATCCGCCGGTCAGCGATTTATGTTTGGGATCCTAATAAGAATGAGAATTAGTCAAAGTTGTACATGATGAAGACGTCGGGTTGAGCCTCGGTGAGTGACTTCGAGGAGCAACCAAATCGAAAACATAGATGCTGAAAAGAGAAAGGCGAAATATTTGTGGTTTGTTTCTTTGCAAATCCACCCCTACCACGTCTCGCATGTCCTCTAGCATCAGATAATTTGTAGTTGTCACAGTGAGCAGCCTATTTGAGCAAAAACTAGAAAAGAAATTTGAAATTATCTTCCACGTTACCCATTGTACCCCAAGCTGAAGCAGTTATGCATATACAAAGGCGTGCCATGTCGAAGTAGCTGAATGGTAACCTTCAGAACTAGTCCACTCTAAACATAGACCTGATGCGAAAAATTCGGTGAACTCCGGCAGAGGCGGTCCAAGCACAGCCGCCGCGATTCTTTTTTCACGAATAATGAGCGGCAATCCAGGAACTTCATACCCCAGTAGCTGGCTGATCTGACTTCGTCATAAAGATCCCTACTACATTTTCAAGCCTCAAAGTACATGTTGCACAAACTATATCTGTAGCAGTGTGGTACCACAATTTCTTAACGAATTCCAGCTTTTGGTGAAAACTACACCCAAAGACCCATTCAAACTTTTCTGCTTTCTACACTTACAAACAGGTGAGACCAGGAATGATATCCACGAAAGTCCATAATGGAGAAAAATGGACTTCCAAACCCCATTTTATTCGTTCGCGGTAGAAATGGTCGGAATCTGCTTTCGCTAGCGTTATCCAAAAATTTTTATCTCATCGCACCACGAGGCCAAACGGTGTGATGAAAATGATTCAACCCTACTTGAGGTCTCTCTTGCGAAAGAATCATGCGAAAAGTCCATTTAGAATGGGGCAAAATGGGATTTACCTCCATTTTAAAAGTACTTGAAAGCCCATTTTACTATCAGCAGCAAGGTGAGCTGGGACTAAGCCCATTTTTGACCTTTTTGCATATTGTTAATTGCGATTTTTTGAGAATGTGTTCCTAAGCCCATTCTAAGGTAACAAATGAGTGGAAAAAGTTTCGTCTTTTTTTTGAAGTGTGAAATAAGTGTTTCTTTTTAAACTCATACAAACGCTACAAAAATCATGGAAGAAGGTTAACTTCACCAAAATATTCGCTAACAAACTCAAATGCTTTCAAATGTCGGGTCGATGCGAAAATTCCTATTCTTCAAATCATCAACCAAAACTAAATCCATGATTTGTATTTGAGAAGAAAGAAGGTCAGTAGAATTACTCAGAAGCAGGGTCCAGCGTGTTGATGCGATTCTGGACCCTCATTCACGACCCACCCCCCTTGAAGGTACCCATCCGTACGACCCTCCCCCCTCCCTACCCCTCCCCATCTATCCCCCCCCCTACCTCCCCTGCCCACATTT